AAGCATAGTAATAGAAACATCAAAAGCAAGCAATGTAAACTCACTGGCTAATAACAACAATAGTACAAAAAATAAAGAACAAACTTTATTAGTAATCACATCAGCTTTTATATTCCTTGTAACCCCATTATACATCCTATAAATCAAACTATAAGAGGAATAATATTGCCTGCATGATAATCGTGAAGCGTTACAAGTACAAAAATGCACTACCAATCTACTACATGTACAATACACTGTGATAAACATGTACATGTATATGCATGATACACCTTATGTTTGTCACAGATGTACTTTTGAGTCTCATTCCAAGTCAGACGTCACTCTTCAACACCACATTGTAGTCCTTGTGCCAAGTACCTGTATAAAGCATGAATGTGACATATATAATAATAATGATAATGTTAGGAATTACAATGTTTCTGTTCGGTCATACATGTATGTGCATGCATGTATTTTAGACAAAATAATGCTTACTAATGCTATCCTCAGTTAAGATACTTTCATGACATGCTTAATATCCAATGACATTATTTACCTGAAGAAATTCCAATGTGCAAACATTTTTTTGTTAAGGACAACATGCAAATGTTAAAACAATCATCAACAAGAGATGCGCAACATCAGCTGGCAAGCATATAATATGCATACAGCACCATCATTCAAATGTGCTACATCAGCTGGCAAGCCTTAACATAATGCGCACAGCATTGATGGCAGCATAATGCGCGACATCAGCTAACAAGCATTAACATATAAGTAATGTGCACAGCATTGACGGCAGCATTAACATGTATGATGATCATTAATATATGTACTAAATCACTGCTTGAATGATACTACATGTACAAGTATAATAACAACTTTCATAGTTACTCTAAAATTTGTCTTGTCCTTCAAAATTTTTCAGCAGTGCCCAGATCCATAAGCACGTGTTTGTTATAAACATGTAGAATAAGCCACGAACAAAATCCAGATAAGATTCATCCCTTCCAAACCCTCTGTCTTACATAAAATGATAGTCACACAATTTTGAAATTAATGCTAAAATCAAAATAACAGTAAACCTCTTTCACACCCTCCCTGTCCATTACAGTAATCAATATTCACTGTTATATACATTGATAAATCTCACTTCCTGAATGCAGTATGATCGCTTGATACTGAGCATTACTGGTTCATATGCAGAAATGGTTTTCACAAACTCAGACATCACTCACAATGTACTACCAGTGAAATAGAAGTGACACTAAACAATTAATGTTTTTAAGAAGATGAATCTCCCATTCTCCATGCCCACTTTCCATCAACAATCAATGCTTAAGATATATTAATAAACCTAACGGCTTGGAAATGATTAGTACCAACATGTTTCAAATACAAAGTAGATATAGCAGAAGAATATAGAACATTAAAGGGGCGAGCCTGAGAAAGCAGCTGTGTAGATCTATGCAAATGATCATATAAATTGAGTACATAAATATGATTAAAAATTTGACAAAATAAAATTACAAAGTTATGTAGTCTAGTCTGTATAATTACTGTTATTGTTTTGCTGTGGTATTGCGCTCCATTTTGAGGGAACAGTGGCCAGCACTGTCACGAAAAAGTGCCACTGCTTTGCTGGCACCCCAGACCACCACCCACCTACATAGAAAAGAGATGTGAATTATGACAAATCAAAGAAAAAGAATGTTACCCTTTAAAGGCCAAATAACAAATGATGCTAGTACTAGAGGTATAATCCATGTTGCTTGTCTCTATTTGACCTTGGTCTTCTGATGACCAGCATACCCATTGTCTGCTTACCTATATCTTCCTCATCGGATGACCAGCTTAACCTGTGATACTAGACGTATAATCCATGTTGCTTGTCTCCATTTGACTTTGTTCTTCTGATGACCAGCATACCCATTGTCTGCTTGCCTATATCTTCCTCATCCGATGACCAGCTTACCCTGTGGTACTAGAGGTATAATCCATGCTGCTTGTCTCCATTTGACTTTGGTCTTCTGATGACCAGTATACCCATTGTCTGCTTGCCTATATCTTCCTCATCCAATGACCAGCTTACCCTGTGGTATGACTAACATGGTCATTTCATCCTCTCAGGTGACCGGCATACGTACTGTATGACTTCCGTGGTCACCTCAGATGACCTGCATATACAATGTATGGCTACTATTGATCATCTCTTTTCTGCACTGACACAAGGCAAGCTGCTAACCACCACCCACAGCGTGTATGATTAACAGCATTACCAAATGAACAGACTTCATAGGAAGCCAAGTCTGTCAATGCTAACCTGTCAGCCACCACCCACTGCGTGTATGACTAACAGATTAACAGACAGCCTCTAAGAGGGAGGGCCTTCTTTCTCATCCTTTCTTCACTGAACTAAGCAAACTGTCAGTGCTAGCTGTATAGCCACCACCCACAGCGTGAAATGACTAACAGAATGACAGCATTGCCACATGAACAGACTTAAAAGGAATGGCCTTCTACATGTGTGTACATGTATCCTTTCCTCCTTTGAGGTGTGTCGGTCTTTGTCTTCCTTCTGATATACCTCTAGTACTAGCAATTATGTCTTGGGTTTAAACTAATCTATATTAGTGGGAGTAAAAATGAGTAATCTGCAAGTAAATGTTTCTTATATTTAATCAATGTTGGTTTTGGCTTGTATTTACTACTACTTAAGAAACTAAATATATACTTTCAGTAAAGTGGGGAGGAGAAAGGAAAGAGCAAAAAAATGAAGGAAAAAAGGAGAATATGCATGTTACATGTATAACATATGTACATTAGATTTAGAAAGAGGAGAGGATGCAAGTTACATGTACATTAGATTAATTGGAAGAGGGTGGAACATTAAAGAAGAGTGGAGGGTGCATGTTACAGGTATGAGAGAGAGGACAAGTAGATTAAGAAAGAGGGAGAGACTGTATGTACATGTAGATTAAGAAGGCAACCAAGTAAAGGTGTTAAACGAATATTATTAAAGATTAAATATGTGGATCTGTGATGAAGTACTTATCTTATTTCAAAGGAAACTTTATTTCATTGTCCACTTTTCTTCTCCCTCCTATGGTGATAGTGAAGACTGTGTCATCCACTCCATCGATGATTAATCTCCATATGTTCATTCTCATGAACAGCCTGTGGAGATAGTGTCCTGACTTCTACATGGACATCCATTGACTCTTCCTCCATTACCTTCAAGAGGTGGTCCTTCTTGAAGAGACAGTAGTCGTTAATCCTCCTCCTTTCTCTCATGAAAACGACAACTTCTAGCAATGCTAGTTAGTCGTTTGAGAGGAAATGGTGGTACAAATAGAATGTCACTCAACTTCCTTACTCTTAAGCAGGTGACGAATGACAATCCACAAGAGAACTCATTCCCTACGTCAATGACCACTTAGACCAGAGTGAGTCTTTGAGATTTGTGTATTGTCACTGCTAGAGTGGTAGTTGATGGCGTGAATATTGACCACCTGAAGAAGACCAACTTCGCCATAATAGAGTGATTGGTACTGTTCCGTTGTACATATTTGGTCCTGAATAGTGATCAAACTGTACCATCACAGCCAATGGTAGGGCAGGTAGTTTGTCTCTCAGGTAACAGATAGCTTCAATTGTTCTAGATCCAAACCACCAGCATCAGGAGATGCACTGCTTGCATTGGCTCCAGTGTGTACTGCCTTAATCTCAGCAATAGGATGGCCACATTCCAATAATCCATTAGCATTGTAGTCAGCAACATCTTCAACCATTGGGAATGGTCTAAGAGCATTAACAAAGGGAGACTGATTTGTTATTCTGGTTGGTGTCTGTTCCATGAGATGTTCCCAATTTTGTTGTTTAAGCATTTGTAAGGCAAAGAAGAATTTCACGGAATCTGATTTGTTCAGGATCCTGTCCAGACTGTCTCATCACTTGCGTCAGAGTGAAAGCTTTAGTGAATTGACTATAAGCTCTGTACCCCTGGTCTGCAAGATCTGAACTTGTCTGTGTGGTATAGAGAGGAAGTCCAAACACTGGCTGTAGTTGGCCAAAGTCTCCAAAGAGTAAGACAGAGCACCAACCAAACAGTACCTGTGACTTGTGAGGAAAGGCTTGTCTCAACCTCCTGTCAATCATCCCAAATGTCTTCCTAGAAACCATCGACAACTTATCAATGAGATACTTGATGTTTGACAGCTCTTCCTGGATGTTCTGTAGGTTGATGCCTTCCATATCCTTGAAGTCACCCCTCTCTGGTAGGTGTAGGAGACTGTGTAGTGTCCTCCCTTCAATAATAAAAGCTGCCACTCCTGTTGGTGCTGCTACTTTAAGACTGGTACCAAGCAATAGCCTCAAACAGTTGACGAGATATGATTACTAGTACCAGCTGTACCATTGACAATGATGTGTAGTGGATCATCATCACCTCGTTCAAAGTGAACCTTTATTGTGTCATACACATCACGCTGCCTTCCTTGAAGATTGTCAGGTATAGCAGTGGTGGTGAATGGAGTTGGTGTGGTTCTCTGTTTCTCCTGTGCAATGAAACTGGCTGCTTCTTCAATGTTGGGATATAATTGTGCCTCTGCTAATCAGTCATAATCCTGTGATGAATATACATCAGGTTGGAGTTGACTGACACATTCATAGATCAGCATCTACTCCTCTTGTGCTCTCTGATGTTGTTTCTGTTGTTGATCATCTTGTGAACTCTATAAATAAATAATAGTTATTCAACAATAAGAAATTAACATTAATAAAATAACAATGGTAATGTAGATGAAAATACACACGAAATTGAGGAACAATAAAACATACCTTTTCATCTCCTTAGTGGTCTCTGTTTGACTGAAGTGCTGCTGTAGCCTGAGTATATACTCCTCAAGGGATTGAGGAACATTTCCAGACGGAAGGAAATCAGCAAACGCCTCAGTGAAGGAGTTGAAGCCAGTCTTTAACTCATTAATGTCTCTGAATGGTTTGTGCTGCATCAGAGACTAACAGCAGTACTGTTCATAGTTGGGACCTGGCGAACAATATGATTTGGGAGTGACTATCACTTCTTTACTCCTCATCTTTGGTTCATTACCAAACTCCTTCGGTACTGTGTACTGACAAATGAAATCCAATAGAGTGATTGAGTTGAACTGTGAAGTGGTTGGATGTGATGTATAGTGATTCAACACAGAATGAGCTGTCACCCTCTCTCCCTCTTCTGTATTGTTTTGAACTTCTCTAGAGCCATTAAGACTGAGGTTGATGAAACTCCTTGATGCTTTGTACAAGGGGAGTTGTAATAGGAGGTGACAGGTTTCTTGTGCTAAAAAGTCCCTCTCTCCAAAGCTGTTGATGAGGAGCTTCTGGACAGCTTTGAGTGATGGATTACCTTCTTTCAAAGAACAAGCAATGTTGGTAAAAGTATCCCTCAAAGACTGAGACCTAGTCTCACTTTTGGTGACATACATGGTGCAGTACTGAACAACCCTGTTCTTTGATACAATGTACTGCATGTCCACATTAGCACGCCAGGATGTTATTTGAATGGGATTGAAGCTGTTAAGCATCCCATCATTACATGCAGTGAGAATTACAGGCTCCTCTTCAGTGATGTTGATGGTGATTTATGCCTTAAGATTTTTAGCAAATTCAAACCGAAACTCCTGCTTTCCATTACGTGTACGGAGACAGTAGGACTTTGAACAGCAAGTGTGTTGTTGGCATGTGGCTATTAGATCAGTCAAGTCTTCTTCAAAATCTGTTACTTCTGAGTATGGCTTGTTACAGTTATGTCAATCAACTGTAGGGGGTGGAGCATCACTAAAATTACTGCCATCAGGAAGGACAGCAGGATTAATGGTAGAGATTATCTCTTCAGCATACTCATTGATCTGTTGTTCAGTTGACTCCACAAGATCAGGTTGTGATGATAGAAGGTTCTCGACATTAAGAGCATTGGGTAGCCAAGCTAGTCCATGTACATGAGGGCTACTACGATGTTGCCACTCAAACCTCATCCAGTAGTCTGTGGCTTTTAGAGTATGGATATAAAAAGCATCAACAAACTTCAGAATTCTATAGTAGAAGAACCAGTCGGCTAAAGCAGAGTTATCAATAACAGCTTTCACACGAGCCTGCTGGATCTTCAGGACAAATGAGGTTGGCTAACTCTGACCACTGGTGATCAGCAGCACTGTGAGTGAAGAAGATGGTGGGCAATCCCTGAGAGTCTATCATAGCAATGAGATGGTTCCTCTCTCTAAACCAGTACTGCATGGTGCCACGTAGACTTGTCCCATAATGAACGACTTTATTTGAGAACCTTTCTCCTTCACAACCGATCATGTCACGAAAATCATCTACAGTAAGATGAGCTTCACCAGGATGTTGTCTGATGTAAATTTGACCAGTGGCATTAGCACGCCATCGTATCTCAGTGTGAAGACCAAAGAAACGAAAGCGAGGGAGCTTAGCGAATCTTCTATCATCTTACTTTATAAGGTGAGTGAAGTAATGACCAGCTGTAATGCCATTCATTTGAGTACCATTAAAATAAGCAGCACCTAATAAAATGTCAATTTATCATGGCATAATTATACAGTCTTACCAGTAGGAAATAGAATAGGGAATGCCATTGAGAAGTATCCCTCAGTCTGGAACTCATTGATAGGAGTCCCTCCAATGCTGGGCCACATGAGAAGAGATGACTGTGGCTGTCCTAATGATTACATTGCTTGCTCAATGGTTTCCCTCTCAGTAGCTGGTGGGGCAGCATTAGGTACATCTTCAGTGGTGGTAGTGTCATTAGATGTTGTTCCGCTTTGAAACTCTACTGGCTGAAATGTACAGAGGTCAGAGAGGTCTCCGTCCTCAGGTAGCATGGCCAATGTGTCCTGATCCAAACTAACTCCAATCTTCTGATAGTAGACATTATTGGCCATCAACCAAGTCAGAGATTCTTTGACGAATCTCCTGCAAACTTGAAAGTCCTTGTGTGTCCTCTCACTTTCCTTGCAAACAACCACAATATTGATCTCAGTTGGCAGGCGGGGTAATCTTGTGGCAAAGGACTTGATGTCTTGTGGAAAGTTGATGACATGTCCACTATAGTCACACTGTCCATGAAGTAGCCTGTAAATGGACATAACAGGCATAATAGCAGACACCAACATTTCCTCTGCTTGTGATAAATCCTAATATAATAAAAATAATAATACATGCATCAAAGTGACATTGTATGTGGCTTTCTCATTGCCGTATAAACAGACCTCCCACTAATATACCACTAGTATCAAATTAATTATAAAAATGAATTACATAACTATACCTGTAACTGTGGTGGTACTGGTCCTGGGTTTATGTTGTTTCCAGATGAGTAGAGCTTAGGAATGTGCTTGTCAGTAGCACACCTACGGCATTCATTGACTCTATTTGGCTGTCTGGAAACTGACATGTTTGGAAACTGTTCCAAACATGTTTCATAGGTCAAGAAAGTGAGAGATGAAATACTTTCATGAAATCCCACCATTTCACTTAGATTAGTAGATTGAAACTCCTGATCCTCCCTTGATGTTCTGTCTCTTCTTTACTGAGACCTGCTTCTGTCAGCTGCTATACGGTAGTCTCTATCAGCAGGTGTCTCCTACTCTCTTCTTGACTCAGACCTGCTTCTGTCAGCTGCTAGACGGTGGTCTCTAACAGCAGGAGTCTCGTTAGCTCTTCTTGATCGAGCCCTTCTTCTCTCCTGACTGGCGTCTCGGTGAGCCCTGTCTCTCAGTCTTCTTGCGGCTAGCCTAGCTTATCTCTCCAGGAGTCTCAGCATCTCTGTGAGCTCTGTCTGCGGCTCTTATAGGGGCTAGCCTAGCTTCTCTCTCTTCAAAAGTCTCAGCATCTCTACGAGCTCTAGCTGCAACTCTTCTCATAGCCTGCCTGGCTCCTCTTGCTTCAGGATTCTCTGTGGCCAGTCTCTGGCTGTAGAGCTCCCTACGACGACTCTTACGAGCTTCTTCTTGATTCATTTCTCTGACTTCACTGTAAAAAATGCCGCCACGTGCAAAATTGCTGAATACTGATTATTTTTTGTTGCAAGCATATGGCTTACATTGGCTTGTGTGCATGCACGTGAGCAAAATTATAGTTAGAGTATAGTTAGAGAATTCTACTGCCCGTACAGACAGACGTTTTCTCCCATTAGTGGGGCGAGCTCAGGCTCGCCCAAATTAGGATCACAAGGAATACAATGTAAAGTTTGGATTCCAATTCTAGCCAAGCCAACAAAAGTAGGAGTAAAGCTGTGTTCAGAAATCAAAAATTAATTGTTTGTGCTTATTACTGCGCTAACGCAAAACGTGTACACCTGCGGTTTCATAATTCATAATTATTATTGTCAACAAGTGGGTAGTCTCGTAGATACCTTTAATTAACAGATATGGGTGTTGTAGACTCCACCTACAAACTAAAATGGAGTCGCTCGTTGACATGGAACTAGTGATTTTGTTGCTTTATTGAAGACTGCGTAGAAAAAATTAGTGTGTGGGTCCGTGACATTTTTTAATGATAGCACAATTATGGTGATAACCACAATCTCGTTAAAGAGATGACACTTAATGACCCAGAAAGTCATTTCAGATACTTTAGATTGTCCAGAGAGCGGTTTGATCATCTCCTAAACATGGTTTGTACCATAAAATATTAGATGCTGGTTTCTATAGCAATTGTTATGTAAGATAAAGCCATTGATTGATTGTCATTATTACTCTTCTTCTCTTCCCAAAGTGAGCCCTGCTGAGAAACTGGCTGTGACACTCGGATACCTGGCAACAGGAGACTCTCAGGTATTCCTAATAATTGTACATTTACAGCTATGGTTTGGAATATCTCAGGTTAGTATTTTGTTTAACTTTTGCCTTGGTCGTTCAACTGTGTGTTTAATTTTGAACGACACCTGTGATGCTAACGACACCTGTGATGCTATATGGGATGCTTTAAACTCAATAAATATACTTAAATGCACCATCAACTGAAGAAAAATGGATTGAGATAAGTAAAGGGATTGAATCTATGTGGAATATATCTAATTGTATAGGTACATCATTGGCCCAACGGTTGTGTATTCATTTATGTTAATGACATTTACTTATACTTACAGGTGCTATAGGTGGCAAACGTATAGTGATACAGGCATTCATGAATGCTGGATCTGCTTATGCTGGATCTGCTTACTTCAACTACAAGGGGACCCATTCCATAGTCTTTTAGCAGTTTGTGATGAAGAGTTCTTCGTTAATCTAGTTGATATTAGTAATTTATGCACATGTATTAATGCTAAATAATTATCTAATTTAAATATAGGTGATTACGGAAGAAAAAGTGATAGTGGAATTTTTTCAAGTTGTGAAATTGGCAGTGCTTTAGAGGAAGATGTTCTTTGAATTGCAAATGGGAGATCTCTACCAGGTAAGTTATAAATTTTTATTATATCAACAGGTACAAGTTATTTCTTACAATATTTTATTGTTGGTGATGAGGGATTTACTTAAAGAAGTTTTTGCTGAGGCCATATCAAGGACAATACATTTCCTATGAAAGATTAATTTTCAACTGTTGATTAAATCGAAAATGAGAATAATTGACATTACATTTGGGATACTAGCAGCTAGGTAAATGAATATATCATGCTATACTTTACTATAATTCTATAGGTGGCATTTATTTCATAGAACAATTATAGGAAATCCTGAAACATTGTGTAATTTACAAAGGCTGCTGTTGTCTTGCATAATTATCTTCTTATAGCAAAATTTTTATCATATTGCCCTCTTGGATATGTTGATGGGGAACATGGAGTGGGTAACGTGATTTAAGGTTCAAGGAGAAGTGATAGTGATTCTTGAAACAGCCTTTACCATTGCGACAGTCTTCTAGCAATAGGTTTGTCTGTGTAATTAGTCATGCTCCTAATTAGTTTCTTTTAGACATGCTATAGTGTCAGTAGAGACAACTCTACCTTAATAGTGGGACAGGTAGAGATAGCTGGCAGGAAAATCATGTTACTCGTGCAATGTGATAATGAATTATGAACTTCAATAAATGAGAAATAATGAATAATGGAATACTCATTATCAGCATTATTAATTCAAGTAGTTGTAATAATCATGAGATAGATCAAATGTTTAGTCTGTAAAAAATTCAACATTCAATGAAACTTGAATTTGTTGCTTGCAAATTGCTTTTTGTTTGTTGGATAGTCTATGTAGTATAGCAGCTATTTGTCGTTCAAACAGGTTGTCCTTATAAGGTTCCTTCATCAACTTCTTCCTCGTGGCTTAAGAGCTTTTTAGTGTTTCTACAAGAGCCATGTCCACCTTGTCTGAAATTTTCTTTCTCTTTTTAGGTGGCTTATTTCCATGCTGTATAGATTTTGGTGTTTCTGTAAAACTACTTGATAATGTACTAGGTGTACTACCTTCAGAGAATGAATGATTAGCAATAGCCTCGGAAAAACTATAACTAGATTTCATTTAAAAATTTTGCCATACATTTTGCTTAATTTTTACAGTCTATGTTATCACCTTCATTTCCAATGTCACTTTTATGGCCACCTGTGCTCTGAGATGAGTCTCGTTTTTAAGTTGGTTATAGTTTTGTTAATGAATGCTTAAATTTTAATTATATGTCGATATATATATATACTCACTGTCTATGTCGTACATCACGCAGGAAAGAGTGATTCACATAAATCCCACTTTGGTGTATATGAAGGGCCTTCAGTGCTAGTAGGCTTTTTTACCTTCTTACACTACCTTACATATCTGTCTCTTAGCAGTTTCCTGTGTCTGGTGCCTTCCTTTCTGGACTCCACATCATCCTTTCTTGTAAACTGGCAAAAGATGCTTTATTAACAACATAAACACCCAAATTATTATTATTGTATATTATTTATATATATCATTATTGCCGCCCTGTTTAGAAATTTCTTTCCGTGATTTTTTTCGCTTTTCCATCTTTGTAATACTTTCAACTTTTCATTACATACCGTATTTCTTTAAAAATAATCTCAGGCGTCTATTTCCTAAAATGGTATTTGGACCTTGAAAAAATATATAAAAAATAAAAAAACCTGGTCCAGAGCGGGGTTTCAACCCTTGAATTTATGCTTTTGACTTCTGGAACTTCAGGCATTATCTACTAGACTACTGGGTCACTCCTGGGCTAGTGTTGCGTATTTATAGTTAAAATGTATTGCTACCCTGGCGTTTATTCGAATGCGGCTTCTATTTAGATATGTACGTTATATAGTTTTGATGTTCTTCAACCTCCATTTTGTCACAAGTAACCATGTGTACTGTGTGATTTGATTGATTGTACGTTCCATGTGGCAGGCAAAAATTGAACCAGCTCTATTGTTTTGTCTCCATCCGTGCCGGCAATTGTGCACCAGTTTTGTAGTTTATACTTTTAGCATGCAAACATAGTGTTGGTACGCAAGAGCATGCATTAGTCTTGCGTGTGTAGGCTTAAGTGAATATGAACATATGCATATACCTAACATTGCTGTTACTGTAATAGTCTGTGTCAGTAGCCCACACATAATTTTTATGCATATTGGACTTATTTATGTAATCATACAAGCTTGATTATTTGATTGAATTTAATATACTATTAAACAATTCTTCTTTAAAGTTTGATATATTACTGATAATTGCTTCACGTGATTTGTAATGCTGAGAAATTGACCCAGTAATGAGATATGACAGAGCATAAAATAAACAGTTCCCTTCACTAGGGAAATCAAGAGTACTATGACAAACTCTTTCATCTCACAATGGTATTGTTGTACAAGGTAAAATTCTAACAGCTGTTACAAACTTAAGGTTTAAAATTTCAAACCACTATTAAAATTCTTCAAGCAGCAGTCTTCCTTGTTCAAGAACTTAAAAGAAGCATCACTTTAGCTTACAAATGAAAATCCATGTAGCTACTAGTGATTAAAGTGATCCAAAGCCACCTAATTCTGAGAGATTAGGAGTTATATACTCACCACTCAATGGGCTGTGGTCAAGTACACAAAATAGCTGGTGGCAATGCCATTGTAAACAGTCTCGGACTGATGATGACAAGCCACCTGAGGATTATCCTCGCTAGCCAGGCCATAATCCAGCGTACGTACATTCATTGGTGTGGACCCCCACTGTCCACCCCAATGACTGTAGAATAGGGAATAGTCTGGTTTGCAAGCCTACTATCTGAGGATATCGTGAAACGCAAGTGCTTTGTTGAATTGCTTTTCACTAGCTTCCATAGTATCACTTGAGCTTATATATTACTTTATTGATTTAATATAAAAGTTATTAAAAAATTAACAGCTTATGCCTATATCGAAGATAAAAGGCTTATGCATATACTTGTGGTTAGCTACATGCAATTGTATCACGTATACAGCACCTGTGTTAA